TGAACTCGAGAATGTTGTTCTTGAGCTTCAGACAGAAGGTGATGGCATCGATGTAGGCAATCTGAATACTGAAGGGCAACGCTCGGAGTGGCTTTGTCCAAATAGGCAGAATGAGCCTGTCTTTGACGGGTGTGATGAGATCGCTCACGCTCAGTTCAGTGACATCGGACAGCACTTGGAAAGCCTTCTGTGTCGCGTCACGCACATTTTTGTTCATGTGCGACAGGTCACCCACGAGCTGCTGACAAAGCCTCAGCGTAATGTTGTTGCCCTTATCAAAGTCTTCCTTCTTGATCTTCTTGTGGCATCGCCGGATGAGATCTTGGATAAGTCCTTCTGCTTGAATGCGCGTTTTCGAGTCCAGATCGATGGGCATGTCCTTCATGACAAAGTTCAAAGCCCGGACAAGTTCGAAATGGCGAGGCACCAACCAAGTCTGAGGAAGACCTAGCTGCTTGATCATGATCTCAATACCACGAGTTCCGCCAGACTTCATGAACCAGTCATCCGCATGGCAGTTGTGACAGAAAGTGCTGGAAAGCTCAGTGAAGAAGACAAACTTGTCGAGAGAGCCGTCATTTCCAAAAATGGCTTTTGTGGCATCGCGCATGGTTATGATGACTTGTTCCGCAGCGTCGCGCACAGCAGCGTGCTCTGAAGCTAGAGATTCGCCAATGGCTTCCGAAATAACGTCAGTTTCGATCACGACGGGTCCCTCGCCCGAATGGACATCAAACGGCTTTGTCTTGTGTTTGAGCGTTGCGAACTGGGTTCCAAGTTCCAGGAGTGTGAAATGCTTCGCCAAGTTATTCACCAGAGCCTCAGCATCAGACTTCAACTCAGGTATGGACACAGCAAAGATGCAAGCCTTCAGCAACTTCTTCAAAGTCTCCTGCTCCACGCTCTTCTTGGTGATTGACTTCTCACGCTCCGACGCAGTGAGCATGTCGTAACCGGCATCGAACTTCTTGGCACACAAGTCGTTGGCTTGCAGGCGGACCAGCTGTGCAAAGTCCTCAGGCAAGCTGTCGAAGCCGACCAGCAGCTTTGTGTGGGCTGTGATGAGGCGGAGGGCCTGCTGCTTGTGGAATGTATCTGACTTCTTGGCTGCGGGTGTCTTGGGGACCTCGTAGAGCTTTGCGATTGCGGTGTCAATTCCGATTGCCGCAGGAAACGCTCGGTCTTTGGTTGATCCAATGAGACGTATGTCGATAGAGGACTGATCGTCCGAGTACGGCTTGAAGTTGAGTTCTGGTGGCCCTGTGATGAATTTGCGGTTGCGACCACCGAGTTTACCAAGGATGCGCATTGTCGTATGGGCATGGAAGTGGCTATATGGATTCGGCTTGAGATGCTCCCATAGAGCAGCCATCAATTCATCTATCACGGGTGCCATGATGGGATCCAGATAGTCAGCGGTGAGGTTATCCACGCAAAGCTCCAGAGTACGAAGTCCTTGACCGACAAGATCAGATCCAGCTCGCAAAGCAACGACCAGCGGTCTCATCAGGTAGCTAAGATGCGGTAGAAGGTTGCTCAACCTCGCAGGTACGGTAAGAGAAAGCTCAACGAACAAGTCTCTTTCTGCAGGCTTGCGCGCCGTCAACAAAAGGTTGTTGAGAACATCCAGCAACATCTCTAGAAGAGGAAGAATCTCCTTGTATAGGTGCTCGAACCTACCACCGCCAATGCTCCTAAAGAGCGACCTGAGCAGGAGAAAATAGTTCATGGGCTCCTCAGCAGTCGTTGATAGCTGAATGGACTTCGTAATGATCTTGCTGACGTGCGGCAAGAGGACTTGCTCGTTTTGAGCGGAAAAGAGTGTAACTGCCATAAAGGACAACTTGAAGAGGCGAAGCATAATGGATGACTTCTTGACATCTGCAGTGCCAACCTCTTCAATCCGATCCATGAGGAACTGTAGCAACATGCCCGAGAAACTGGGGGATGTGGCCTCGGAAGCAAGAAGAAACTGTGGAACATGGAGTAATGCCGGGTGATCGAACATCATATCGTACAAATGGGGTATCTCGGATGAAAACACTTCGTGGAATGTGGCTGGGTCAATGTGGTGGAAAACTGTCGCAAACGTCTCCAGTAGATCCTTCTCTTCTTTGCCGCTCGACATCATATGCTGGTTGCCCATGAAATCTCCTGGTGACATGCCTTGAGTCTCGGGCGCCTTGTCGGTGCCATAATAACGGAACACCTTCGCACCTTCGCGGAAAAGCTTAATGAGAACCTCGACCTCTTCAGCATTGTAACCAAAGGAAACTTCATGCCAATTGGCCGATGCATTTGCTGGATCAATCTCTTCTTTGATCTTGGCCGGATTGCACGCTCGCAACTGGTAAAAGAGATTTTTGAGTCCGTGCAACAGGTTCTTGAACAAGAACTTGTTGTCAGCAATTGGGTCAGAACTCCGGTCCCGGGGATTCGATGTCTTGATGGGTGTCGCGTTGAAAATGTCAATCTCATCCCAGTCTGGAGGACTGTCCTGAACGGCCATGTGATTTTCGTCAGTCGCATCAATTGATGGTTGGCTGTATTGTGCCGAGAGTTTAACAGCGTTGTGATACTGACGGTTCATAGCCGCAAACTTGTCCCCAATGGCATTGAGAATCATGATCAAGAAGTACCGAGCATCTTCCTTGGGCTCCAACTTTGCGATGCACTCTGCCATGTTCAGTAGCAGTTTCGCACTCATAGTCTGAAAACTGGTCCCCGGAAAGCTGTCGTGCAGGTTCTTTGTGTACACTTCGACTGTGCGGCGAATCTGTTCTTTGGAAAGCGAATCTCGCAAATGGTGAATGAGATCTGCAAGCATACTATATGCAAGCGGGCGCATGGTTTCATACACGGTAAGTCCGTCTCCAATTAGGGTCCTCTCATCCAGTAGCTCGTCAATCTTTTTCAGAAAGATTTTGCGAAAGTTGAAGTTGATGATATGCCGTATAGCTACCAGTAGCTCCTTCCGCGCACCCGACTTTTCTCGTGGGCAGTCCTTGAGTAGGCGCACAACGATATCCGGTAATGTTGGTAAGAAATCATTCAGCTGATTTGCGTAGACTCTAAGGAGATAAGCCAAGAAGCTCATGGTCTTAACTTGAGCGGTGATGAAATCGCCAAAAGCAGCTCGATTCCGAATCTCCTTGCTGACGCCAGTAAAAATCTTGCCCTGGGCCTTGGCCTCTTCATGCGCCTTCTCTTGCGGCTTCGCTTGGAGCAAAAGCACATTTTTGATAAGCGGAACGAAGAGTTTTACATTCTTGTTCACGCAGTTCCGGTAGGCCTGGAATAGTGATACCACAATGATCGGGCACTCTGCGAGAACCTTGAACGACTGCATTCCCTTGAGCAGCATGCGCGTCTGCTGGTGCTCCGAGCCAAGATCGCCTGCGGAGCTGGAACTCAGCGTAGTTGCTGGCGAATTGGGACGAGGAGATTGCGAAAACTGGTGATTGTTCGGGGTCGAGGGGACGCCTGACGAGGTTGACGCAGGCGCACTTGTATCGAATGTGTCGTGCACGGCTTGCTCCATTGTCTCAAACATTTCTTGGATCAGGTCGAGGAAAGGCTGAACGCGGTCCGCGAGGGCTTTGGTTTGGTGGCGCTGGAAATCCATAATGGTCTTCATGCACAAAACCGCATTGTCCTCATTTTCCAACTTAACCAGACTCATGAGTTTATCCACAATCTTTGCCGCATGCGGTTCGATCGCCTCGGTCGGGTTCATGGGCAGGCGGTGCAGGATTTCGAGGATGCAGTTTCGTATCCGCTGTTTCTGAGTCAGAAGGCTGCCTTTATTGCTGCGGGTTTTGCGCTCACCTGTTCGGGCGATGTGGATATGAATACTGGATTGCCATCGAGTATCTTGAGGAACACGGGAACTAGGTGGTTCAGGAATGCGCTGTATTGCGGTCCTTGGCAGTAGCTCTCGATGTTGTCCCGGATTTCAATGGCCTGGGTGCCCTTTGCTCTCAGATCTGTGTCATAGTCAGCCTCTGTTCAAGTTTCTCAATATGCGCGACCGCGTGCGATCGTGGCCGTCAGATCTGAATTGTTTCGTTACCAGAGTTAGGGTCGTCCAGTTTGGAGGCCATAGCCTCGAAGTTGTGAGATGCCATGGCGAGAATGTTTGCAGCCCACAGCTGCTGCTCCCCTTGTGTGGAGGCCTCTCAGAATGCGCCGTACAGTGTCGTATTTACTCTGTGGGTTGCGCGGCCGGTGTGGCAGAAGGCAGGCGCATTTGCTCTGGTAACGGCGCAGTCGTGTGCAGGAACAGCGGCAGGTGGTTGCAATGGGGAATATTAAAATGTGAAAAAGAAGGGATGGGCTAGATGGCCCGGTTGGTCATTAAAATCGTTATGAGAAAACGAGGACTGGTGGTGGGGTGGGAAGGCGCGTCCAGCAGGTGCTGGTTGAGGTCGCGTCTTGAGCTCTGCAGAGCACTCAACTGACGACTGGTCGCAGAGGTGGGAATGCCCTGGACTCTGAACCGGCAAGTTCCGTGACTGCCTGCCGCTGATTGGGCTGCTTTGCCCCTGCGTCTGTGCGAGTTGGGCTTAGCGCCATCGGCGTTTACAAATCCCCGGTCTGTGGCATTGAGCCTATCGTGTCCGCCGGCAAGTGTGTTGATGATTGCAACCCTGACTAGAGATATTTTGTGTGTTCGAACGAGGATATATGATATTCGTACTACCACATATGCCTACCGAATTATCAAGATTTCGAGCATGTCCTAAATATGTTTGAACTTGCAAATCCCATTCCATCTACCTGCTGCATCTAAATATCTGCACTCTGCATCACCACCAACCCGCCTTGGCATACGTTGACCACCATTCATGCTGCAATACATCACACAGTTGTACAGGCCACGTTCGCTTCCGGTCTTCTGTCTAGTAAAGGAAATTGGAATATGGCATTTACATTGGGCGCTCCGAAGTATTCGATGTCAAGAAGGAGATAATCGGATAGCGAGCATACCAGCCTGCGATCTACTTCTCCTCAGGGTAGAGGGTCTCCTTGAGGGGAATACCAAGCTCCTCGCGTATCGGCTCAAGCTCCTGAAGGTACTCGGCGTATTGGCCCTTGTTCTCCACCTTGAACTTGATACCTGTGACGTATGTTAGTAATCAAAGCTCCGTGGCTGGTCACACCCCAAAGTTGCATCATCTTGTGACATGTTCCACGCCCCGCCGCTGCGTAAACCGTCCAGATACACATGGGCGGGGTATAATGAGAAACGTACCCTCGAAAACTCGGACAGCCGAGGGGAAGTCATTGACACGCCTGGCAGCGCGGAGAGCGGCAGTGATGACTGCGGGGGAGGGGACGAGATCGTAGGCGAAGCAGTTGTTCAGGTTTCGCTGCAACGTGTTAGCGCATAGCTCTCATTCACAGCAGTCCACCAGCTGGCTCAATGCAGCTCGGGTGATACCGGTGCGGGCCGTATGCTGGGGCACAACAAACATACCTGAAGCTCAAAAACATCATTGACCTTCTCGAACTCCTTCTCATATCTACAATGGAGACACAAAAGTCAGCGCTGCAGCTCTAGATGCGGTCAATCGAACCCAATGGCTGTCCGTAGTTCGTGGTCCCACTATTTCTCCCCAATCGTCCAAGCCCCTCCATGGATTCCTCGTACCTGGCGGTAAACTCCTCAAACGTCTCTTCAGCGTGCGCATCGCTCTTTCGGATAGCCGACTGCGAGAAGGTGCGCTGAGCGTTCAATGCAACGGTAGGTGCTCGGTAGGCCGGGACTGCCACCCGGCTGACCTTTGACGCGGCGCGCATGAAGAGCATGGTGCGGTTCAATTAGCTGGCGGCTAGCTTTTCGAGGTGATGAGGGGGGCTACTGGACGGTTGAGCCGGCGTTGCGTGGGCGAGGGGTGATGTCGGTGGTGGTGCGATTTCGCGTGAGGTTATGAAAACGAAAGCTCAGACGATCCGAGTTGCACCCAAGCCAAGCATGGAAAAGTGGGTCGCTCTTACTATCACTATACCCAAGGCTGAAAGCATAGTCCTGACACCCCGCATGCATATACTGCGTACTAAGTATACCTGTTTCCTTGATCTATATGAATATCAGGGAGTCATTAGTGTTACGATGGTCCATTGAACTTGAGTGCGCTGTTTCCAATTCACGTGTTCCCAAACCTGTGTGGGGTTTTGCAGCAACCAGCTCATCAACGAAAGAGTCATTTTCAAGTCAAAGTTGCGCTAGTTCAGTATCAGAGAATAAAAAAAATGCACTTCATGTCTCACTAATATCTATGGGAATCAGTTTGTATCGCCTATACCCTATAGTATCCTCCAAAAGGCGCGGGGCCCTCGGACGTGGCTCGAATAGACATGATAGGGCTATCATTGTCATCTTCACCGTCTGAGCTCCCGTACATGTCCTCGTCCAACTCATCATCTGGCATCGTATCTTCTTTATCTTCATCATCGCCATCATCACCCTCGCCACCTTGGTCAGCACCCTCGTCATCTGCGTCGAGGTCTGCATCCAAGACCGTGTCAGCCATGACAGGATCTTCTGTCATATCTTCGGGAACATCAACGTCTTCCAAATTCTCCGCATCATCCACTTCCCTTTCTTGTTCGTTTTCTGCCTCCATTTTCTCGAAAGCGTATCGCGGGTTTCTTGCAGCCCAACGGACGTTGTGCATAACCTGGTGTTCTCTTCTCTTTTCTTGGTGTACCTGGCGGTCATCTATCTCTGCTTTATATTGAGCTGCCATTTCCTTGTCGTCCCATAGTTCCGGCCAGTCGACAATACGCTGGTATATTGAGTCATCTGGTTTCTCGCCACCAATGATTGTGTTCATCTTATCCTTTAGTATCACCGTCGCCTTAGCCCATGTCCCCACATGATACCATCCTTGAAAGGTCGGCGCACACGTCGTCCTGATATCCTTTGTAGAAAGAATTTTCGAAATCAGAGGGTCGGTGATGTCGCAGAATTGGAATAGATTTCCAGTTTGTGAGACATGAACACCGTCAAAAGTATGCTCAGACTCCAGCTCTTCCGGAGACATCTTGGCTAGCTTCATGACGTGTTGGTCGAAAACTGCGCGGTGTTTTGATATACCCGATTTGAGATATGAGAGAAAAGACACCGTTTGGTACTTGCGGTATTCAGGATCCTTACGAGGGTCTACCCCCCAACGCACAAGTGCTTCTCGCCAAGGTCCACTCTCGAAGAAATACCCACAGTATATAGCTGCTTGCCGGAGCTTGGTTCGCTTGCTCCACCCGAGTCTGTTGTACAGAAGTTGACGAGTGACAATAGGTCGTTCAAGGAGCAAGGCTCTAATGTTGGCGATCAACGACTGCATATAAGGCGAGAGATCCCTCTCTGCGGGTAGGTTGGGTCTCGGTCCATTTGGCACATGCTCGTCGGTGGGTTTGACAATGGTGTATGCGTTATAAGACAGACTTCTCTGCACATTGACAACACCTTGGTCGGTGTATTTGACATTGGAGTTTTGCTGGAATCTAGCTAGGGGTTAGTAAATGTTGGATTCGCAGAATTGTAACCATACCGGTAGTTGAAAGCGATTGGCATTTGCAGAAACTCTGCAGATGGGCCGACAGTCTTGGTGAGATCTGCACCAGCTGCTGTGTTGATGTTGTAGTTCTTTACTTTGTCATCTGAAAAATTATCAGTCATGTCTTGGGACTACTTGGACTCAATCTTACATCGTCTGGAAAGAATGTGATCACGCAAGCCGAGCATTGTGTCGTTGTGAGAAGCGGCATACTGCAAGTCAGGCATATCTAAGTAGTCAGCACCAGATACTCAATGTGGTCAGGAAGTCAGCACTTACTCCTGAACCGGTGAGTCTCGTCAACTACACCAACAAGAGCAACCTTGTATGTGGATGCATTGTCTTGGATGCTTCGGTAGATTGTTGGCGCATCGACGTATGTCTGATTGTTGTCACGGGCTATGTCGTCTTCAGCAAGAAAGGGCCCCGCAGTGCCGCGCTTTCGTTTGCGACCCGTTCGCTTGGGGACTGTGACTTTGAGGAGTAGGTTGTTGGTGCGCACTGGGGTGGATAGCAAACGCTTGGCGAAGGGGTCGTCGGGACGAAGAGAGACAGAGATGAGCTTCTTCAGTTCATCATCGCCCTCCGCGTTAACGGTGGTTTCCAGTTTCGATCGCAGGCCCTTGGGTTACGTGTTAGCATGCGGGTGTGGCATGGAGTTGTAGTACAAAGACTTTTGCTGACCTTGCTCAGCTTGATAGGCCCGCCCAACGAGGCAATGCCCTTTTCCACGTTCTTGATGATGGCTGGATGCTCGACAACCGAGATGGCACGCGATGGAATAGGCAGCCACGATGCATGCTGGCTTTCGCCGTTTGCATTGGGCGTGGATTGTTCGTCACTCATGGCGCACTGCAACAGATTTTTTTGTTCACAGGGCACAGAGTATAACTACACGCAGTCTCTCGTGTGGTGGTGTTTTGCAGAGTCTGCCCGAGCACGGCAGAAGGACTATCAAATAGGGCGCACACACAGACCCTGAGCATGCGAGGCCCCGTTTGCAGCGTCCCTCTAAAGTACTACTTACTATATATGGTGCTGGGGATCTGCCTTATGGCTCGTTATGGGCGCGGGTGGTCAGGTGACGTGCAGCCATGCAACGCCGCCAAAGCCTATTTGTCGTCTATGTGCGTTGTCTCCTTCGCTGCCCCTGGCTCGCATCTCTCAAAGCGCCCGTCGCCGCATGGCCGTGTGTATGTACATGTGCTATCGGGTGTATGATGTCGTGACGGCCGCGGCGGGGCTCTCGACATCCCAAACGCACGGCCTCGCTACGGGACGGCTAGCGCGAATCACTCGACGCCGTCTGTCTGGCAGCAGCCCTGAGTTGTCAGTTGACGACCTGCTCATTCTCTCATCTCCAGCTCTTCAGTTACACGCCTCGCTCTCTCTGCCGGTTCGCCTCTACGTCACCACACCGTTGTTGGGGCTCCCCTCAGCTGCCTTCTGTTCCCTCCCCCCTCTCGCGAGCTCTGCCCTCCACCGACTCCCCGTGCTGCATCCCAAGACGGCTACACACTAGCCTCCATCCACCATCTCACGCGTCCCCTCGTCCTCCATGTCGACCTGACTTGCACGCCTGCCCAGTCGTCATTTCCCCTGCCTGCGCTCCTCTTCTGGCACCCCATTGGCGCTCTTGGATTGCGACCCCCCTCGATACACGCCCAGAGGCCCGCCTCAATTTCGGACGCCCGTCTCCGCAGACACCTCCGCAGCGCTTGACCTGGCCCTGAGCGCTCCTGCACAATCATGAAGGGTTTCCGGCAAAGGGTCGTAAGTCTCCGTTTCCTCCTTGAACCCTTGCGCTGCGGCCACCGCCCGGTGCCCTGCCCCTCTCTATGCGCGGAGGCTAACATGTCTAGTCTGAACAGCTTTCTCGAAGCAAGGATGGAAAGTCGTCCAAGAAGAAGGACTCAAACTCGGGCACTGCTTCGCCGTCGCTCGGTGCCTCGAATTCTCCCTCGGGCTCCGCCCAGGCCACTCCTTCCTCATCACAGACGCAGCTCACCGACGCGCGAAGCAAGAACCAGCCCGCTACTGATGGCGCCGCAGCCCACCACGGGTCGCTACAACAGAACCAGCAGCCTTCGTCGGGCTCTCTAGCAGGTGGGCAGCAGTCATTTGCTGGACAGGGCCTGATGGGTCCTGGCAATGCTGGCAATGCTGGTGCTGCAGGTCCAGGCACGCCTTCTAGACTTGGACAGCCCCTGGCGCCGAGCGTCGTCATCAGCCCGAGCGCTCCTGTAAGTACTCTTGCCCATCATACTTATGTAGAAGGCCTGCGTAGACTAAGTATTCTTGCAGCACGTTCCCCCTCCTGGCGCTGCCGAGACCATGCCTGGCGACCTTGCGCCTCCAAAGGCGGGCCAGAAGTCGGGCATATTCGACCGTCTTCAAGCGACCCCCAAGGACAATATTGAGGGTATAAGGACTCCAAAGAGGCAGCATTCATCGCGTTTTGACATTTCCGATCAGCGTCAGCGTGAACTGGAGAAGCTACCCGGATTCCACGAGGTGCCTCCAAACAAGCGGGAGGAACTGTTCATGCAGAAGATCGACCAATGCAACATCATCTTCGATTTCAACGATGCCAGCGGCGACATGAAGTCCAAGGAGATCAAGCGCCTGGCCCTGCACGAGTTGCTCGACTACGTTGCCAACAATCGTCAGGTCATTACAGAGAAGATGTATCCTCGCGTCGTGGAAATGTTTGCTAAGAACTTGTTCCGACCCATTCCACCTCCCATGAACCCACAAGGCGAGGCTTTTGACCCCGAAGAAGACGAGCCTGTGTTGGAGGTTGCATGGCCACACATTCAAGTCGTCTACGAATTCTTCCTGCGCTTCATTGAGAGCCAGGACTTCAACACAAACATTGCCAAAGCATACATAGACCACAGTTTTGTGCTCAACGTATGTACCTGATTTTTTAACAATTACCAGTCCTGCAGCTAATCTTCCCAGCTACTTGAGCTTTTCGATTCCGAAGACCCCAGAGAACGCGACTTTTTGAAGACGACGCTTCATCGCATATACGGCAAATTCCTAAACCTCCGCTCCTACATTCGTCGGTCCATCAACAATGTCTTCTTCCAATTCATCTATGAGACGGAACGATTTAACGGAATTGCCGAGCTTCTCGAAATCCTCGGCTCCATCATTAACGGTTTTGCTCTGCCCTTGAAGGAAGAGCACAAGCTTTTCCTGACAAGGGTGCTCATTCCGCTGCACAAGGTAAAGAGTCTGAGCATGTATCATCCACAGCTGGCATACTGCATTGTTCAGTTCCTAGAAAAGGATGCAGCTTTGACAGAAGAGGTAAGGTTAGATGCCCAGTCCAACAAGCTAGGCTAACATGTGCAGGTTGTTTTGGGTCTTCTCCGATATTGGCCCAAGGTGAACAGCACCAAGGAGGTCATGTTCCTGAACGAAGTTGAAGACATATTTGAAGTCATGGACCCTGCCGAGTTTGCAAAGGTGCAAGAGCCTTTGTTCAACCAATTAGCCAAGTCGGTCGCCAGCCCCCACTTCCAGGTTGCAGAGCGAGCACTCTACTTCTGGAATAACGAATACTTCTGCAATCTTGTCAGCGACAACGTCGAAGTCATTCTGCCAATCATGTTTGCACCATTGTACGAAAACTCAAAGGGACACTGGAACCGGTATGATGCAGCACCATGTCGTAAGCAAAGTCTTGGAGGCTAACAATTATGTGTAGAACGATTCATGGTATGGTATACAATGCTATGAAGCTATTCATGGAAGTCAACCCTCAGCTCTTTGACGACTGCTCGCACGACTATGCCGAATCGCAAAACAACGCGACACAAAGGCAGCAAAGTCGACAAGATCGCTGGGACAGATTGGCCAAGCTTGCAGAATCACGCGCAAATGGCACGGCGGAGAAGTCATCAGGACGTGTGGACGATTCAGCTCAAGGACGACTGGAAAACCTGCGTCTTCAGGACGATGGGACGACATCGAGAGACAGGCGGCCGAAAGATTATGAGCGTCAAGGCAGCCAAACCTCGGTACGTTGATTCTTAAGTCCCTAGAACTCGAGATGAGCATTCTGTGTGGCCGAATCGGTGTACTCTTAATTATATTCCTAGACTCCTAGGTCTTTTTTTTTCTATACTCTCTCACTCTCTCTGTCTTCTTCTTGTCCAGGCATTGGCTTTTGGTTCGAGTGGATCTGACGTGTTTGTGCTTTGTGTCCTTGTAGCGACGGCACCATTCATCATCAGGGGAGCACCATGTATCATCCAATGCTCGTCGTTCGGCTGGTCGACCTCGTAGCAACAGTCGGCCAAACTCGTCGTCTGGTCACGCTGTCTCGTCGCGAGGGCCTTCTGGACGAGCGAGAGCAAATTCTGGGAGCAGCATTGCTCGGGTCACGAGCTCTTGAGGCCTATGGCTTGTGCATGTTGTCTCATTCCATATAGTTTGTGGTCTATGTGTAGCTCTTTGGAGTATGGCTTGTAGTTCATGTTGGCATTCAGCGGTCGCGTAGGTCCCTGGCTGGCTCCCCCAAAAGAAGGACGGGTTTCTTTCTTCTTCTTCTAACAACGGTGTTTTGGATCTATTTTTGTGGAGGGCTTATAGATGTGCGAGTGACGCCTACTAGGGGTTTCACTTTTGCGCACCTATGTATACGCAATATTAAGACTATTTTCGAAAACAAAAAAGGAATATGAAAACAGGCGGTGGCGAGTAGTGTGAAGAGGTGCAGAATTGAAAACAAGGGGTAGGTTGTGTGCTATGATGACCAAAAGAAATAAGGGGGAGAAGGGAGGGTTTTGGGATGCTGCTTGTTCGTACGAAGCAATGCGGAATTGTGCTTACATGGGTACCTTGACAGCGAAGTTCCGGGGTAGTCGAGGTTGATGGACGAGCTACAAGTGACAGTGAGTGCCAGCGACAATAAGGGGCGGTGTATCGGCGACCGGGCCGCCAAGATTTCCGGAGCACTTGTTCCCATTTGGTGAGTGCCACGTCGAGGCCTCTCCACAGTGAGCAAAAGTTTGGCTGCGGAACCGAATTGAGCATTGGGGGTGCAATGGCATGCTGAGCACGTGGAGGGGCATGGATGGGACTGGAGGCGATTGGATTGGGGTCTGCCTGTGTCTTGAAACATTCATGGACGGTACCGACATGGGCGTGGGCATGGTACCGCATGCAAGCAGACGTAGGCGGGCTGCCATGATGCATCTGAGCTGCCAGTAAGACTTGGCAGATATCACCAGCAGGCGTGCTAGGGGCTGGCCTCGGTCTGCAAAGTGTCGCAATGCGGACGAGCAGCCGCTCGATAGGCCAGATCTGCGCCAATGGCGGAAGACCCTAGCAGTCATTTCCGACCTCCTTTCCGGCGCTGTAGTCAAGAAAACTGGCGCTGACCCTTCTTCAAAACCCTCATCAACTCTTCCTCTTCCTCGCGGTGTGAGATTCACTTCTACACATCTTCTTCGTCGTTCCTTTGCGCCTTGCGTGTGCTTGGTCGTGGTTGCCGTCTTTTCTTTCCCTCCGCTCATTGTTTGATTACGCATTTTGTTCCTCTCAAACCTGATAGGCGCAGCCATTCGAATCAAAACACTTGACATCCTCTCCCGCCAGACTCCGTAATCTTCCACTGTTCCCGCCAGTTCGCACGCACGCACGCATACACAAACACAATGGGAAACCCCGAATGGCTTGAATACGGCGTGCCGACGCTCGACCGTCCTTTTGGCCTGGCTCTATGGCCCATTTTCGAAAAGGTCTTTGAGCCCATTGCGGGCTACAAGCCCCAGGACTTCCGCTTCGAGCAGGGCGTCACACCGCTCTCGACCTTCAAGACGTGTGTTGTCACACTTGTTGTATACTACATTGTAATTTTCGGCGGCCGGGAGCTTATGCGCAATCGCGAGCCCTTCAAGCTCAGCTTTCTCTTCAAGCTGCACAACTTTTACCTCACCGCCATTAGCGGTACACTGTTGCTGCTTTTTGCCGAGCAGATCATCCCCACGGTTGTCAGGAAGGGTCTTTTCTTCGCCATCTGCGACCACGAGGGCGGCTGGACTGACAAGCTGGTTATCCTCTACTACGTACGTATTCATAACAGGCGCCCGCTGCAGACCAGGCTAACACATGTGTACAGCTCAACTACCTCACCAAATTCCTCGAGCTGATTGACACCTGCTTCCTGTTCTTGAAGAAGAAGCCTTTGAGTACGTGCATCCGAATGGCGGTCAAGATATCGTAAAGCTAACGGATTCCAGCTTTCCTCCACACCTACCACCATGGCGCGACGGCCCTCCTCTGCTACACCCAGCTCATTGGCCACACCCCCGTCTCATGGCCCGTCATCACCCTGAACTTGGCGGTTCACGTTGTCATGTACTGGTACTACTTCCAGAGCGCCCGAGGCATCCGCATCTGGTGGAAGAAGTACATTACCGTCGGTCAAATCACCCAATTCGTCCTTGATCTTGGTAGGTTCCTTCGTAAATTGACAGTGCATTACAACAGCTAACCCCCCGCCTAGGCTTCATCTATTTTGCGTCATGGACCTACTTCACCAGCACCTACTGGCCCCACATCCCCAACATGGGCAAGTGCGCTGGTGAGGAGTTTGCCGCCATCTCTGGCATCTGCATTATCACTTCGTACCTGTTCCTCTTCCTGGCATTCTACTTTGCCACATACAAGAAGCCGGTTCCCAAGGGCCGCCGCAGGGCTACCAGCGCTCTCGTGGAAATGAAGGACGAGAAGGTCCCCACCGTTGGCGAGGCTCGCAGGCGCCTTTCGATCACCCGTGGCGCCGCTGCTACTGGATCTTCGCCCAACGGCACTCCCAACGGCCGGGCGACGCGCAGCCGCAAGGCGTAAAGGGTGACGTTGTGGCTGCGCAGGCTATAGAGGCGCAGCTGTAGCGCGCCATGCTTGGCTAGAGGAGCTACCAGTTAGGCCTGGCTCCTATGACTTCGTTCTTGATGCGCCATGGCCAATTTAGGTCGGCAATTTTGATACTTGTTGTAATTGTTATGTGTGGGGTGGGACGGTTTTGGCTTGCCCCGTGTTACGATAAAAGCATGTAAGAGCATGGTTGGTCGGTCGGATTGCATTAGGACAACGGTGGTGTTGGGATTGGGCTTTGACATGGGCAGTCCACGCACGCGTTGTACAAGATACTCGAATGACAGATAATGCATAATAATGGTCAAACTTGGCCTTGCCATTGTAGTTGTTGTTGTGAATGTGGAGATTGTGTGTATGCATGTGGGGCGTGTGGGCGTATTGATGTTTGCGTTCACGTGATGGAAATGGAGTAGGCTGCTTTTTTGGTGTCCGCGGGGGATAAAGGGGTCGGTTTAGGCATTGTGTGAGGGCTCTATATGCAGTAGTAGAGTTGAAACGCTCATTGCTTTGTTATTGGTATGGAAATTACTGCTTCTGGGATGTTGCCACTTGCGGCTATCGGAGCTTTTCATGGGCAGATGTGGGGAAGCTTGACCAGATTTACACGTGCAAAACTGAGGGGTGAAGCATGGTGGTAAGACGAGGCTGACAAGGGATCCGCCGCCATTACGCCATGTGCCCGGCGGCCAGCGTGTACTTGTAGTTCCCGGCTTGATGCACACTCCGAGCAAGGCAGAGAGAAGTCGGGGGTGGCTCATCATGGACTGTGCAGGCTACCGGTATCGTATCCATGTATGTAAGAAAGAAAAAAACAGACAGCACGGCGTAGTAGTAGCCCCTCGTGTCTGGTCTGACGGCACAACGGGCCTTGTCGTCTCGTTTGCGTTGCCAAGCACGAGTGGGTGGCGTGGACTGTGGGTGGATCGCCGGTGACATGTGATAGGACTGACATGTGAGAATCATGGCTTTTGTGGTGACCCCCAATTTGCTGCCGCCGGGCGCTCTCGTCTGGCCTCCCATTGCCATCGCCGTCGTTTTGCTCCCCTCGCACCTTGGCCCTACATCCGCTCAGCAATGCCGTAGCCCGGCCAATCCATCCTGCCACCCTTCTCCTCTGACTGTCATGCTGCCTCTGCCTCGTGCGTGACCAGCCGCCCACTCACTCCCCTGAACGACATCATTGCTACGTCCCCTCTCATTCTGCGCTCCCGCACCCCGGCATCCGATTCCGCTCCCGCTGAGCCCCCATTCCCATTCGAGCCCGCTTCTCCGACCCTTTGCTAAGCATTGCGATCGCACGCGGGAACAGGGCAGCGCGACGTAGCGCAACTCTCGCCAGTCGAGCACAGTACACTATCTGATCGCATTGCCAAAACACCCTCCCGTCGTGCTTCGCGCACTGAGCGTACGTGGGGTACCGCTAGTCGCCCGCATCACAACCCGCACCCTTCTTTGACCACGTCCTGCCAATTCACAATGGAGCAAGAACGCCCACTCCAGCGTGCCCCGCCGCCTGCATACACCCAGCACGAGCCTGAGTCGCTGCATCTGCCCTCAGTACCAACCCATATACCCACTCACAACCATCACCCCGACAATGCAAGACTCCCAGGCATCAAGTCGCTGCATCTGCCCGAGACCAAACCACGTCATACGCCACACACGTCCATAGAATACAGTCCGCGCACAAACTTCGAGGCATCGCATTGGGGCGTCTTGCCTGCTCCAAATGGCACAACCTTCCCGAGCGTGCCAGAAAGCCTGCCACGCGAAGATGTAGGAAGCCCCATGGACACGTCTAGTATACGGGAAACGAGCGTCAGTATGGATGACCCAGATGTACGATTGGCAGCCGAGGCGCTAAGCGGACTGGGCAACCCAGGTATGTGGGGGGTGGTGCCCTCATGGTAAAGAGTAAGCATATACTAACTACAGCCTATAGACTTTGTCCGTTCTCCCACAGCACGATCTCTCACATTGTCTGCCCGCCCACCCACTGCTGAACCACCGGAACCACTTCTGTCGCTAATCACCTCGAATCACCCATGGTTGGGAAGCTCCATCAATGGCTCCATATCCGCTTACAACACGACAAAAGGGTACACGCCGCGTCTAGTCCAATATGGTGCCGAACTGCTCGAACGCAATATTGGATCACCCGTAGTAAATACTGTTTCGTCTGTAGGTAGAAGAACCGGCATGGAAAAGAGCCTGCGCCGTTACCTGGGCGAAGGACATCGCCGGCCTAGTGATCTTGAACAGGGCGACAGCGACAGTTCTAGAAGTAAGAGACAGAGGATTGCAAGTCCTGCAGATGATGCCATGGATGTAGATGATGCACTTGCGGCAGCATCGCGAACAAGAGGGGGATCTCAATCTTCTTACTCTGAATCTCTTCCAGCCTACGATGATCAGAGATCTCCAAACTACGAAGAGGCGATTGTAGGAGACACGGCTGGGCAAAAAGCGCCAGAACAGCGATCCGAGACCCCACAAGACCGTCGCGTAAACTGGTCTACACAGCTCATCATGACCACCTCTGGTCTTGGTGTTGCTCTGTCCGAGACATCACTGCGCTCCTTGAAAATCTGCCTAGGTCTCCTCCGCAGCGCAACAACACACATTGACTCCGTCATGCGTGCACTCAAGCTGGTCCTGGAAGAATACGAAGCCGCGCTGCGCAACCAAAGGGAGTCTTCGTCCAACAGCACCAACCACAACATTGCCCAAGACGAAAAGGCCCAACTCAACGGCAACATGGCACAAATGGGCCTCGTAGATTCCGACAAGGACGACCAAGTCCGCCGCTTCGCCGACCGCATCAAAGAACTCTCCTCCGATATCTGGCAAACCCTCCAATCAGTCGTGCAATCCGTGTCCCGCTACACCGGCGGCGCCCTCCCGCAAAACGCCCAAACCGTCGTCCGCACCCAGCTCCTCTCCGTGCCCCAGCGCTGGCAACTCGCCAGCCGCAACACTAGCGGTAGCAGTAGTGGTGGTGACGAAGTCCGTGGCGCAAACCGTATGCTAGCCTTTGCCAAAGAAGGGCTTGATATGATGGGTCAGATTACGACGGTTGTGGATGGTACCGTGCAGAGTGCAGAGTGCTGGCTTCAACGTATTGGACGGAGACCTGCGAATGGGGAGGAGAATGCAGGACAGGCGGGGGAGAGTCAGAAGACGCCTCTTGCGCTTGAGGCTGGGTTGGGGAGGGATGAGAAGAGGTAGATGATTATATTGGTGTTTATATACATGTTTTGTTGTCTGTTTTTCTTTTCTTTTCTTCTTCTCTAAGCAGTTCCTTTGTTCTTGCTTCGCCTTCTCCTTCTTCACCTTTTGCGTATGTGTGTGTGTCTGATGTTCTTTTTTTCAAAGGGGGGGGTGAAAGCAAGCAATGGGTGAAAAGGTCAAAGAGCAAGATGAGTGTAACTGCAGAAAAAGCGAATATGAGGGTATTTTGTGTGGTGGGAAGATGGCGAGTGAAGTAAGGTGGGGAGGTTTTTTTGGAGGGGGGGGGGGTTAGTCTGGCGAGGTGAAAGTAAGAAAGGTGGAGGTGTTGTTGGATATATATCCTAAGAGTTGAAATTTAATTCCTTTATGGATGTTTGGATGTGGTTTTTTTGAGGTGGTGATGGTTGTGATTGTTATGTTGCTTGCGCTTTGGTAGGTGGTTATGTGTTGCTGTTTTTTGGGAGTCGATGGGGTTGGGTGAGGGTTGTGGAGTGTTGGGGGTGGGTGTTGGCTTGAGAAGGAAGGTGGAGAGAGTCGACTAGTGTGAGTAAATACCAGTTTGTTGTTTATGTTATTCTGGGTACTATCATTAACATTTTTGTACAGTCTCTATTCCTTTCTTCCATCCCGTCTGCTTCTTCCATCGAGTCGCTCGTAATTTAGCCGCCGTGGCTGAGGTCGAAACCGACTAATGCAGCCTTCCTCCATTTGGCTCCATCAGCTACAGCCTTGGCTCTGCTGTCATTCAGGTTGCAGCCTTCAAGCTTCTGCTCTTTGACTTTTTTACATGACTTGACCAGATGGATTTGCCATCTGGAAAAGATTTGATACTGCTCACTAAACAAGCGCACTGTGCTGGTCGACCAGCCCAACTCCTATGGCACCATCCTACGCTGCCGTGCACCGACTCGACTTCACGAGGCTGACACCAAGCACGCAGAATGATGACGAGTTTTGTGTGAAGTACGATCGCATCCATACATTTGGCAAAATTACTGACACCGTCTAGCATCATATTCATCCACGGCTTGCGAGGCCATCCTCGACGAACGTGGGAGGGAAATACAAAACCAAATAGTATCGGCAGCGATGCTACCAAGAAGTCCAAGAGTCTCCGGATACGGCCCTTTTTCCGACGAGAACAGGCTAGATCTCCTGCACCAGAGATATCACAAGCCCAGGACCCTCCCTCAACCCCTACTTCGTCATCGCCGTCTAGCATATTTTGGCCAGAAGAGTATCTCGTCCCGGACATCCCCCGTGCCTGCATATGGACGTACGGGTACAACGCAGACGTCATTGGCGGTATCTTCAAAGCCAATAACCAGAATAGTATCTCACAGCATGGTCAAGATTTGTCAGTTAGACTGGAGCGAGAAATTTGCAATGAGGTATGAGCTGGGTAAAACACAAGATCCCTCCAGAATTGTATCTAAATGCATCACAGAAACCAATTTTATTCGTAGTACACAGTCTTGGTGGAATCATACTCAAAGACGTAAGCGATCTAAAATGTGATAGACTACGTCAACGCTGCTAACTTTGTTGCTGTAGGCCATCCGCCGATCGGAGACTATGCGGGAGCGAACAAGATTCATCGTCTTTCTTGGGACGCCGCACCGGGGCAGCGGGTGTGCAGACTGGGGTCAGATTGCATCGAGTCTTGCCCGTGTAGCCATGCAAGACTCAAACAAGAAGATTCTTGAGACACTTGAAGTAAACAACGAAGTTTTGGATAACATCCATGAAGACTTCAAGCAGATCGCGTCCAAAGGCAAATTCAAGGTTCATTCCTTCCAGGAAGCACGAGGCGTTACAGGTGTGCGTGGATTGGAAGGAAAGGTAGCACGACACAGAAACCACTAGGAAAAGCTGACAATCCTAGGTGGTGGACAACTTCTCTTCCAAGCTCGACCTTCCGCGAGAATTTGAGACTGTCGAGAGCATCGATGCGAACCACATGCAAATGGCTCGGTGTGCCAGTAGAGATGATCAAGTATATCGCGCCGTCTGTGGTGTTTTGAAAGCATACGTGAAACAAGAACTGAAGAACCAGCAGACGCCTTCTGCTTCTGAAGGTACTGCTACGGGACTGACAGATGCTACCTGTACGTAAGATCATAGCCTACAAGACTGCCGTGCGACACAACGCTTATTGGTGACTTCTATTACTAGCAAGCAAAGCTTTGTTCATGGTGCCTTTTTCCAAAGATAACTTCTTCATTGGACGAGAAGACATCATCAACAAGATCAAAGAACGCAGAAAAGCTGCACCTTCACACAAGCGCACAGCTCTCTTTGGTCTTGGGGGCGTGGGGTCAGTATTCTTATCTATCCTCTTTGTAGAAAGTGCATTAACCCATTTTTAGAAAGTCACAGATTGCGATCGAGTACGCATATCGAGCCAGCAAGGAAACACCTCACATGGTGGTCATGTGGATACACGCAAGTAGCCCCGAAAAGTTCCAACAGGGATACAAAAGAATTGCCGAAAGGCTTCAGCTGCCTGGATGGGACGATCCCAAAAAGAATGTACTACAGCTCGTATATGAGTGGTTGGCGGACAGTCAAAATGGGCAATGGCTAATGATATTGGATAACGTTGACGAAACTAACATCTTCTTCAGCGATAATCAGGACAGTGATTCGCTTGAGAGCTATCTTCCGCAAGTGACACATGGATCAATCCTGATCACGTCGAGAAACAAGATTGCAGCAAAAGATCTTGTTGGCGAGCACACTGGTATCATTGAGGTAGAACCGATGAGCGAGGAAGAGGCGGTAGAACTACTTCACACCAAGGTGTCACCTATAGATTCAGATCCAGCAGATGCCAAGGCGCTCGTTCATGCATTGGAGTACATTCCGCTAGCCATCACACACGCCGCGGCATATATCCAAACACTAGGAGAAACATTCACGATAGGCAACTATCTAAATCTCTTTCGCGAAAGCGAAACCAATCAGGTGCACTTGCTAAGCAAAGACGAGTTGAAGGACATTCGGCGCGATCCAAGCATACGGCATGCAGTGATAGCGACATGGCAGATCTCATTTGAACACATCCGAAAAACGAAACGATCCGCAGCGGACCTACTTGCACTCATGAGCATGTTCCACAAGCAAGGCATCCCACGAGAATTAGTGCAAGGTACGACTAGCGAACTAGAATTCAACGATGCTCTGGCGCCACTGATCGGCTTCTCTTTCGTGAGGGTTGAATTCGGGCAGCAGTTAGTGACGATGCATCGCTTGGTGCAGCTGTCGATGAGACGATGGTTAGAGAAAGAGAAGGAGATTGATAAGTGGGTTAAAAGTTCGACACGAGCTATGGATATGGTTTTTCCAAGTGGGGATTACGGGACGTGGGAAGAGTGTCGAGTGCTGCTGCCGCACTTCAAAGAAAACACAAGCCATGCCACGACTGACGAAGACGTGCTAAGTATGCGAGAAAACATCATTCGGAGAGTTACGGCATACTGTGCGCCTAAGGGAGAATGTCAAATTATAGAGGAGACATGCCGATCGTTGTTGAAGAGCCTAGAGAGTTTTTGTGGGAACGAGCATCGAGCCACGATTGGTTGTACCAATAGCCTGGCAGTAGTGTTAGGTGAACAACACAAGTACGGAGAGGCTGAAGAAATGCATCGACGAGCGCTGCAAGGATCTGAAAAAATATTTGGGTATAAGAACTCAAACACGTTAAGAAGCTTAAATAATTTTGCAGGTGTGGTATCGAAACTAGGAAAGTGGGAAGAGGCTGAAGAAATGCATCGGCGAGCGCTGCAAGGACGTGAGAAGATATTAGGGCACGAGCACCCTGAGACGCTGAATAGCTTGAATAACCTTGCAGTAGTGTTATTAAAACTAGGAAAGTGGGAAGAGGCTGAAGAAATG